AAAAAAAAAAAAAAAAAAAAAAAAATTTTTTGTTATCCCAGAAAGTTTCCTTAGCTACTTCAGGCAACATCTCAGCAGTGAGCTGAGACTGTGCCATTGCACTCCAGCCGGGGTAACAAGAGGGAAACTCCGTCTCCAAAAAAAAAAAAAAAAAAAAAAAAAAAAAAAATTGGCAGCACTGGAGTCAAGATGGAAGAGTACGTGCGAGAGCCTTGCCCATGGCAAATTGTGGATGACTGTGGTGGGGCCTTTATGACGGGTACCATTGGTGGAGGTATCTTTCAAGCAATCAAAGGTTTTCCCAATTCTCCAGTGGTAGTAAACCAGACTACGAGGGAGTTTGACAGCTATTAAAACCAGGGCTCCGCAGTTAGGAGGTAGCTTTGCAGTTTGGGGAGGCCTGTTTTCCATGATTGACTATAGTATGGTTCAAGTTAGAGGAAAGGAAGATCCCTGGAACTCCATCACAAGTGGTGCCTTAATGGGAGCCATACTGGCAGCAAGAAATGGACCAGTGGCCATGGTTGGGTCAGCTGCAATGGGTGGCATTCTCCTAGCTTTAATTGAAGGAGCTGGTATCTTGTTGACAAGATTTGCCTCTGCAGTTTCCCAATGGTCCTCAATTTGTGGAAGACCCCTCCCAGTTGCCTTCAACTCAATTACCTTCCTTACCTTTTGGAGACTACCGACAATATCAGTAGGATTTCTTTCCTAGGATTTCTTTAACAGAATGAGTTGTAGTTCGAGAAGGATTTCAGAAGATCAAGTTACAGTCCATTTTTAAAACCATGGGACAGCTATGGCTAATAGGCTATAAAGAGACATTTGGCACTTTTTTCTATTTAAAGGAACAAGGGGGAAGCAGGTGCTAAAAGATAATGCATTTATTTATTCACACTTGAATTGCATTTGTGGTAAAAATAAATGTCTAAATCATTAAAGTAAAATACAGTAAGTGCTTGAAAGGTGAAGGACCAAAGCGCCAAAAAACAGTGAAATATGATTATCATCTCCTTGGAGATTTCTCTGCCTGGTTTTGTGTGTTCTGTTATTCAAACAATAAAATGCTGGAACTTAAAAAAAAAAAAAATTAAATTAAATGAAAAAGAGAAGATTCTCCTCTACAGGTATCTGGCCTCAAAGAACAGCTATAAAAATCCCAAGGCAAAGATTTCTAGCACAGTCCTTGCCTTTCACATTGCTCATAGTCTTATTGAGAAGGGGTCTCTAAAATCTGAGGCTGGAAACTCTGGGAATGGAGAGGCCTTCAGCCACCATCAGTTATACTTCAAAAATGATTTCAATCACTTATATACTTTGGGTTCAGTCTAGATTTTTGAAATTTCTGGAATTAGGTACATCCAAGAAACACCTAGACCCAGAAATGAATATCTGGCAGATTTTTCATCCCTAAAAGATGCTTAGTTCTCCAAAAAGCACCTACCAGTCTGGTTTTTTTTTTTTTTTTTGAGACAATCTCACTCTGTCACCAAGGCTGGAGTGCAGTGGCACAGTCTCAGCTCACTGCAACCTGTGCCTCCTAGATTCAAGCAATTCTCCTGCCTCAGCCTCCTGAGTAGCTGGGATTACAGATGTGCGCCACTAGGCCCAGCTAATTTTTGTATTTTTAGTAGAGACAAGGTTTCACCATGTTGCCCAGGCTGGTCTCAAACGTCTGACCTCAAGTGATCTGTCCCCCGAGCCTCCCAAAGTACTAGGATTATAGGCGTAAGCCACAGCGGCCGGCCGAGCACCCAGTCTTGACAGTTACCACATGATGCCACACTGAGTAATCACAAAATTGGATACTGTGATCAGGGAGAAAACTCACCTCTCGTTTGATAGGCTCCCCTTCGCAGTGGATCACTGTGTCTGGAGCAACGATGCAGTAAGGGCTAGGATCTGTTTCCACCACTTTGAACTCCACAGCACGCATCCCACCACGGACAAGAAAAATGTCTCCTGTGAGAGCAAGCAATACAAGCACAGTTAGAGGTGTCAGCTACAAGACAAAGTGAGAACTCATCAGACCCTGGGTCAAAATGCCAAGCTCATTAGATACTGCCCTTCATTAGATATTACCCTCTCTCCAATGCCACCCCAACTGTCTTAATAAGCAGTAGGCAAGAGGAGAAGGGTAAACTGTGAAGAGTCCCTCTGCCACTCAGGAGGTCAGTGCAGAAAACCTGACATGCCAGAAGTCCATCAAGTTTTGACTTCTGCCATATAAGTAGCCCAGGCTTTACTACAACCACCAATGCTAGAACTGTGCACTTTGGACCCTGACAGAGTCGAAATGGACCACCTCCTCCTTCACAGATCCATAAGGATAGCTTACTCTCCTGGAACAAAGAAGGGGAGAGATAGAGGAAGAGAAGGATGGAGGAAAAGAAGGGCGGAAGACATATGAATCTGTGTGCAGGATGCATGTGTGTATACAAATATATAAAAATGAGACTAGGTATGATGGCTCATGCCTGTAATCACAGCACTTTGGGAGGCCAAGGCAGGTGGATCACTTGAGCCCAGCAGTTTGAGACCAGCCTGGGCATCATAGTGAGACTCCATCTCCTCCTTTCTTTCTTTTTTTGAGACAGAGTCTCATTCTGTCACCCAGGCTGGAGTGCAGTGGCCTGATCTTGGCTCACTGCAACCTCCACTTCCTGGATTCAAGCAATTCTCGTGCCTTAGCCTCCCAGGTACCTGGGATTACAGGCACCCACAATGGGGTTTTGCCACGTTGGCCAGGCTGGTCTCGAACTCCTGGCCTCAGGTGACCCACCTGCCTCGGCCTCCCAAATTGCTGGGATTGTAGGCATGAGCCACGGTGCTGGGCTGACCCTATCTCTTAAAAAATAAATAAATAAATAAATACAAGGAAAAGCATAAAAGATTAAAAAAAGAAGAAAAATAATGAAATGGAGACGTTCCAAGCTGAGTTTCTCTAAATCATTCCACTACCTAGTGTGCAAAAACTTAACAATCAACAATCCTTAAGCTCAGAATTAGTTCTCACCTTTCCGGATGGGTCGATAAGCTTCTAGGAAGTACGGCTTAAGGTATACCTCAAAGAGATTACCAGTAATGCCTTCCACTGTGTCATCAATGGGCAGCACATGGATACGTTTGCCATACTTCACATCAGGGCATGGCTGGATGCTGAGGATGACAAGCAGACTCCATATTACCAACCATACTTCGGGCCCAAGCACTGGGTGTCCAAAAGGGCCTGGCACAGATAGCTGATAGTAAGTGAAAAAGAAAAGGCAGGGATGGCTTTAGGTGAAGAGCGGAAGGAGAACAGGGTGGATGTGAGGGCAAAAGAACAGCCCCACTCACTCCTAATCAGTGAGCCAAAATCAAGAGCCACACATTTAGAAACCCCACAAAGATATGCAGAGTCTTCAGTGAGATATCCAAGGATAATCCCCTTCTAGCTAATATTGATGACCCGATATTACAAAAGAAGATCTTAAGCTAATAATTGTCAAGGTCAGAGAAACAAAAGTGAAAAAAAAAAAAATTATCTCAGCCAGGTGGTCAGAACACCTTGAGAAAGTGACTAAGCACCATCAGGAAAAAAGTTACGTGAAACTTAGACTCCATTAAAAAGAATCAAGAGCCTAAGATGATCCTGGCCAGGTGATGGTTGGCTGGGTAGGAGTGGTTAGAGATGACTCCAAGTTGGGGTAACTTCTTGCCTAAAATTATGCAAGAATAAGTGAAATCACTCACACTGGAGCTATCCTGGGTCTGGCTTCAACTATTCCTCTCTCCCAGGTTAATTTAGATGCTTAAAAGGTCTGCTACCAGCTCACCTTCCATGCCCATACCCCGACCTCATTCCAATCCCAAGCCATTAATGGGACATACTAGTGAGAGTAGTGAGGAGGTCATTTAGCAGATACATACCCTCAAGTGGCATCCTAAACCAAGCTTTAAGTATGATAAATTACATCTCTGGTAGGAAAAAATAGGGCATCAGGAAAAGTTACAGGAATGCCAATTTGTCTCAAGGGACATCCACAGAAAATCTGCAAGTCCCAGGAAGGCAGAACCAAAACCTAAAGACAATCCTGAAGCGTAAGTCTTCCCATGGCCAGGAGGCTTCCTATATCTACAGATGCCAAGAACTTGGTCCTGCCTGTGTGACACATGGATCCTGCCTATAATGCAGGCTATCTCTGGTCTCCTGTCCCTGCGGAACCAAAAACCCCACACACACCTGATGACATCCCCTAGGCGTACACGAAGGTTATTCCGAACAACTCTATTCATTCGAATCTTCTCATCAGAACACGTGTCATCAGAAAGGACAATGCAAACAGCTTCTCGTCTCTTCTTTCCTTTCAGCAACACTGTGTCACCTCGGAACAACTGCAATTCATCCATCTTGGGCTGAGGAAAGAAGGTTAAGGCCTTTGGGTCACTGGGCAGAAGGGAGTAAGCAGCAGCCCTGGAGACTGGGATTCCCAGTAAACCCCACTCTATCTGCAGTCACTGCAAGAAAAATGAGAAAAGAAACCTGGGAAAATCCCTCAAGTCAGTCCAATAAGGAAAGACTAGTCTGTGGCCCCAGCTTACCTGGGACAAGGACACCACACTATTGTCCTCATTGATGGCTTCATCAACAATTAACCGATTGGGACGGTTCTTCTGTTTGAGAATGGCTGTTGATAAGTCATCACCTTTTGAACTAGAAGGAGAAAACTGAGTCAGTCCCAATAGATACTCCAGCCCCAAGAGCCTCACCAGGCTCTAAAACTCAAGAAAGAAATTGCCGGGCACGGTGGCTCAAGCCTGCAATCCCAGCACTTTGGGAGGCTGAGGCGGGTGGATCACGAGGTCAAGAGATCGAGACCATCCTGGTCAACATGGTGAAACCCCGTCTCTACTAAAAATACAAAAATTAGCTGGGCATGGTGGCACATGCCTGTAGTCCCAGCTACTCGGGAGGCTGAGGCAGGAGAATTGCCTGAACCCAGGAGGCGGAGGTTGCGGTGAGCCGAGATCGCGCCATTGCACTCCAGCCTGGGTAACAAGAGCGAAACTCCGTCTCAAAAAAAAAAAAAAAGAAATAGTGACTAGATGAAGCTGTCCCTAAACCAGAGAGCTCAGATGAAGGAAAGGCAGCCAAAGTCACAAGGAACAATATCTAGCATACACATTAGAATATCCATTCCAGTAGCTCCTGGTGTTTTGAGCATCAATGTCCCAGTTATAAGGCTCCAAGTGAGTGATCCTGCCCCAGGATCAGAAAACAACAGCCTAAGAAGAAGACATAATAGAAATGGAGGCTAACTAGTTACTAGAGAAATAAAAGCAGTCTTAGACTTACAGAAGAGTGGCTAAGCCGGGCGCGGTGGCTCAAGCCTGTAATCCCAGCACTTTGGGAGGCCGAGGCGGGTGGATCACGAGGTCAAGAGATCGAGACCATCCTGGTCAACATGGTGAAACCCCGTCTCTACTAAAAATACAAAAAATTAGCTGGGCATGGTGGCGTGTGCCTGTAATCCCAGCGACTCAGGAGGCTGAGGCAGGAGAATTGCCTGAACCCGGGAGGCGGAGGTTGCGGTGAGCCGAGATCGCGCCATTGCACTCCAGCCTGGGTAACAAGAGCGAAACTCCGTCTCAAAAAAAAAAAAAAAAAAAAAAAAGAAGAGTGGCTAAGAGCAGGAACTCTATAGTCAGATCCATTGGGTCTAAATTCCAATTCTGCTACTGCTTGTGATCTTGGGCAAGTTACCTAACCTCTAAACTTTGATGTCCTCCCCTACAAAATAGGGAGTATAATACTTATCTCAGAGGCTTATTGTCTTAAGGGAGATGATGAATGTAAAATGCTTAACATAATACCTGGCACATGGTCTTAATGGTCACCATGATTAACAGTATAAAGTGGGCCAGGCGTGGTGGTTCACACCTGTAATCCAAGCACTTAGGAGGCCAAGGCGGGCAGATCACCTGAGGTCGGGAGTTCAAGACCAGCCTGACCAACATGGTAAAACCCTGTCTTCAAAAAAAAAAAAAAATACCACACTATAAAGCATAAGCTAACTTTCCAGGGGAATGAAGTAAGCCAGACAACTGACAACTTCCCCAGAGATGGCCTCAAGTCCCACCAAGCAAGCGTGGGGACAATGAAGCAAAAATCATTGGTGCTACACTTACAGGCTAAGCCCACTGATGCTAGGCATTCCATGGTACCAAAGGAATGCCAAGCATAAAGACCATCATATTTGGAAAAACACTAGCACACATGAAACCACTAGAAAGAGGCTCAAGGTCAAAAGAAATTGCACAGTAATTTCTGCAAAGGCACAATTCCATAGAGTTGGCTCAAAAAATAAAAACAAAGAAATGCTGAGACTTGGGGCAAATCCAAATCCCTCTCACCCAAATCAAGGTCAATTGGGTCTATACAGTTTGTTATTTCCTAGAAGCTAGGATCATTCAACAAGCAGTGACACCAACTTATTACCTAGCCCATCTCCAGCCATCACTTACTGGACTCAGTGCTGTCTATTTTTTTTTTTAAGATGGAGGCTGGAGTACAAAGGCACGGCTCACTGCAACCTCTGCCTCCCGAGTTCAGGTGATTCTCCTGCCTTCCCAGTAACTAGGATTACAAGCACGCGCCAGCACACCTGGCTAATTTTATATTTTTACTAGAGGCGGGGTTTCACCATGTTGGTCAAGCTGGTCTCCAACTCCTGACCTCAGGTGATCTACCCACCTTGGCCACCCAAAGTGCTGGGCTTTCTCTCTTTTAAGAGCTGCCTTCTGTTAGTAAGGCTCAGGAAAACATAAACCAAAATAGGAAAGCCAGACAATGAAGGAAGCAAGGCAAGTACACTTTTAAAAAGAATTTTCTTCATTCAACTAAGTAATGAGGGTCTATTATGTCCCAGGCATTGTCCTAGAGGCTGGGGATACTGCAGTTAAAACAACAGTATTCCCATTGGAAATATTCTCACAATTTCCAAGAGACAGAGAAAAAAATGCTGTGCTCAGCTAGGAAGCCATGCAGTTCTTACATCTTTGGGTCCTGATATACCCAAAAGAAATACAAACCCCATTCATCTAACAAAATGGTAGGCCTTCTGCTAACCCTCACACTTAGGCTGTATTTTAAACTACTGCCTCTAAACTAGTTTCTAACGAGTTTCCTCTGCTCAAATTTGCCTCCCCCATCCCAAAAGTGTGTCACTCTAGGCACAGTGCTACTGAATAGGCAGACTCTTCCAATGCTTATGAACGTACTGGAGGTCAAGCATGGTCAATGTGACAGCTGAGAGCAATTTAAACCCATGAGTTCTCCCTCTCCTGTCCCATCAAAACACTCTTTCAGGGGCTGCCAATCTTCTTGCTTGACCAATAGGACTGAGACTGTAGAAAAACAAAATGTCAGATGCCTCTAGTCGCCATAATTTTTTATTTTTTGAAATGGAGTCTCACTCTGTTGCCCAGGCTAGAGTGCAGTGGCCCGATCTCCCTCACTGCAACCTCCACCTCCCGGTTCAAGCAATTCTCCTGCCTCAACCTCCATAATGGCTGGGACTACAGGCGTGCGCCACCACCATGCCTGGCTAATTTTTGCATTTTCATAGAGATGGGGTTTCTCCATATTGCCCAGGATAGTCCTGAACTCCTGACCTCAAGTGATCTGCCTGCCTCGGCCTGCCAAAATGCTGGGATTACAGGCCTGAGCCACCTCGCCAGGCCAACAGTTTGTATTTTAATCTGAAAGCTGCATCCTAGGAAAACCTCCATTCTGCCTACCATCCCGGACTCTGGCTCTGGAGATGAGTAGTGTGCCCTCTTCTTAAGACAAAGCCTCTAATTCCCGATCTATCAACTGAGATCAGAGGTGGCAATCTCCAAAAGAGTGAATTTGGCCTAACCATGGGACGACAGCAGTTCTGGACGCTCTTTGGGGCCATCCTCCATTGTCTTCTGTATGAGTCAATCCCTTTCCAGAACTGGACAGGGGACTCCACATGGGACTTGGAGGGGGTTCACCTAAGAGTCATCAAGGTGACCAAGAGGTTAGAAACAGCTGATGAAGCCAGGTTTCAAGAGTTTTAGATTTTTACTTTTGAAAATAAAAGCTTGACTGCATGTAAACCAAAAGATTATTTTCATAATAAGTGACTCTTTTAAATAAGCAACTGAGTAATACTTTATCCCAGTTCAGACACTTGAGAAAAAGGAACACACCTCAAAAAACTAATCTCTTCAAAGAAGGAAGGTAATTTGCATAGAACGGTTTCCATGGGCTGGCTGTGTGTTTTTTTTTTTTTTTTTTTTTTTCCAGTATCTAAAAGCTAAATTGAATGGGCTGACGGAGCAAGTTTTATCTGACGCTTTCCTGAGGGATGGAAGTGGGGTCAGAAAGCCTCAGAGCCCGGATAATTTCTCAATATAGCTGGTTGGGGAAAGGGGTGCGTGCACGTTTGTGTTTTTGAAGAGTTAGTGCAACTCTAAACTGCACACCGCGAAAGCTAGAAATCTGGGAAGGCCCACAAAACACGAACTGAGATTGGAACTTTAGCAAAAACCTAAAATATTTTTTAAAAATTCCTTTCTCCCCACCCAAGAGTCATAATATTAAGGAAAACTCGCTCAAACTTTCTAGAATGAACAACAGGCCTAAAGAAAGAAGAAAACCAGAAGCGAAAGGTAGGGCTCTCCCTCTTCCTAACAGTCCCTCACTACTCAGATCACAGACTGCCCACCTCGGGTCCCGCCGACCAGACTCCAAAAAGGCGGCTGTGAGCTTTCCTGAGCTCGCCGGGCCTGCCCCGACCCCGGCCTCCGCCCCAGTGGCAGGGCTCCTGAGGCCTTCACATGGCGCAAAGTCCACGCCCACCGGGCCCGGTAGCGGCCTCGGGCTCGCGGGGCCTGCTCTCTTCAGGGACCAAGGCCTTCGGCGGGTGGTAGGCCGGATCGTAGACGGGCTCCCCAAGGCGCCGGGGCTCCGCGCCAGCGGTGTGGGCCGGAAGACCTCGCCAGGCCCGGACGGCCGTTCCAAGGGAGCCAATCGAGAGGGCCGGGGCCTGCATGACACAGCACGATCCGGCCCAGGCTCCGACCCGCGCCCAACACAAGCCCCGCCTAGGGGGCGCGCGGGTGCGCAGCTGGCCCCAGCCGGGCCTGCCGGGTCCACGGCCCCTTACTCACCCCCTTGCTCCCCTTCCCTCCTTCCTGGTCTCCACCTCCCTGACGCGCCCACTGCCAGGCCCTGCCGGGCCTACCCAGGGTGGCCGGTCCCGGTGCGCGCCGCCGCAGCGAGCGGACGGCGCGCGCACACTCACTCGGCTCCAGAAGCCATGGCGCGCGCCTCTCCCGGCCGGCGGCTGTGGCGGCCCGCGGTAACGGCTACAAGGGGTGGCAAGCGACTGACTGAGCCGGGGCTCGGCTCTCCCAGGCGGTGGGCGAGCAGCGGCGACAAACCCGCAAGCAGCTTCCTTCTCGCTTCCTCCCACCGGCAGCTGGGCGTCGGGCGAACAACGCTGGCTCCTGATCCGAGAGGTGGCAGTGGCAGCGGCAGCTACGACTCAAACGACGGCCGCAGACGCTTCGCTGAGACTGAGCCGAGAAGAGCCGAATCATCGGAAGGGAAGCTGCTCCCACCTCAGCCAATCATCGCCTGCCCTGCGGACTCTCGCCCGCCTCTCCGCGCCTCTCCCCAGCAACTCGCAGACCACAGCCAATCAAGAAATTCGTTTGCGGCCTGGCTCCCGCCTCAGGGATGCGACACGCCTAGTAACGCCACGTCAATTGGCCACAACGCTACGCTTCCTCGGCGGATTGGGATGCTCAGCCAATCAACGAAAGGAATAGGGCGAGATCGACTAGTGAAAGGAGAGCCTTTAATCCCTTAGAGGCGGACTCTCCCACTTGGCTCCAGTTCATTGGCTCCGGAGTTTTTCCTCCTAGAATAACCTGGCACAATGGACTGAAGCCTTATATTAGTCTAGTACTGTTGTGGTAACTTACACACCCTTTTTCCTCCCAAAACCTGGGGATCTTCTAAGACGCCATCACCACCTGACCCTTATTCTTGCTCCCCCCAACGCTGCCTCCAACCACCCCTACTCTGAACTTTCTGACTAGCACCCCATTCCTACCCCATTGTCATTGCACTCTGTGGTAACCCCAATCCCACAGCCTTTGCAGTTTCTCAGCACTTGTGCCTTCCTTCCTCCCGTCATTAATATTAATACCTTATAATAAGGCACTCAAATCCAGAGAAGTCAAAGGGCAACCACAGAACATAGCCAATTCAGTAGAACCCAAATTACCAAGAAAACAGCATATGCTGGGAGTTGAAATCCTTGGGCCCAAAGTAACAGGGGTCGCTGGTTGTAGTCAACAGGCAGCTGTTGGTGGTATGCTGACTCAATTCACCTGTCACCCTCTACCCAGACACATTTGACTAAGACAAATCCAATTTCTAGAATTTAGAATTAGGAGGGGAGTGAAGAGTCACTTGGACAGACTCAGAAATCTGCCTGTCTCTAATTATCAGGTACCCACCCTTGTACTGAAAGGCCTATCTTTCAGACCCAACTCCACTCAGTCACTGTCCTGGGCTTTGGGGCTCTGCATTTAGGCAATGTGAAGGACTAAAGCCACCAGCTCCTGAGTAAGGTTTCCTGTAGCCCTTTCCTCATACCCAGATCTCACGTTCGTAAGGTTGATGATGTCAGGAAAGGGTATCATAGACAAGCAGCACTGAACTAGACAGCCTTCCCACCCAACTATATGTAGTAGATGGACAAGAGATAAATATGAAATTTTACTTGACAAAAGAAAAGGGGAAACAGGAAAAAAAGGTGCCTCGAGCAAAGTCAATAACTTGGTGGTGGTAGCAGAGATCATTTCCTCCAAAACCAGAACCGTAATAACTAGGGCAAATTTCACAGGCCCCCCACCAACCTCACCAGTCCAGGATTCCTAATGATGGTGAAACAGAAAGCCCTCCCCACACACAGACAGCCCACGGGGGCCCCAGTTCAGGCTCTTGGAAACGTGGCAGCTACAGGTCACAAGACTCCAGCAGAGATGTCTGAAACTCTTCAAGGAGGGCTTCACGATCAGAGGGACCGATCCAGCTCAAATAGCTTTCTAGGTACAGGGGGAGAGACCTGGAGAGCAAGAAGGATGATGCCTAAGGATGAAAGATGGGCAGAAAGCTGGGGAGCCATGCCCTCTCTTTCAGTGTTTACTACCCACAATAGGTCCAAGGACTCTAGGACACCAACAGCCCCAAGCCAGCAGGCCTGAGCTCACCATATAGCACCTTCCTGTGGCCCCTTAGTTTGGGCCTCCAGCCTCCGCCAGAGCGCAGTGGCCTCATCCCTCCGATCCAGCCTCCTCAGAGTCTGAAGCAGGTGAAAGTAAGTGTCTCGATTACCTGTAGTCCCAGCCCAGAGTACAGAGTCTTAGAACTTGACATAGTCTTAGCCATTGTTTTATAAAAAGGGAAGCAGAGGCCTAGAGAGGGGAATTATCTTGCCTACACTCACATATGGAAGCAGGGGCAGATTATTCACAACCATTCCTATCTCAGTGTCCACCACCTGCCCAGTACTCCTGTGCAACCCACTCCAGCAGTTACGGTCTTTGTGTCTGAGGATATTAGGGAGACCAGGAAACTCTTAGAAGCCCTGCATACATACTTGTATATGTTTGAAATCTGGATATATCCCTAGATATATACAGCACAACTCCAGTAACCCCTCCTCTCTGAGAACATCACCCTTACACTTACAACCAAGTATCTTTCCCGTGGGCCTCTCTGTCCTTGCACATCTATCCATAGCTGATGTCATGCAAATATACATACCTGGGCATATCTGCACAGCAAGGAGGAAGTCCTGTAAGGCTTTGGTATCCTGGCCACTGGCTACCCACTCCAGTCCACGACTAATTAGGGCGGCTGCCCGAAGCTGCTGCAGTGCCGCATCTGACTTACATCCCTGTTCACAGTTGGAAGCTGCCCCTGGGGACCATTTCCAAAGTCAAGAAGTGTGTTCCTAGCCTCACAGTCACCAAAACTCCAAATCCTCCTCTATTTCTTCTTGTGTCCACAGTCCCTTTCTCTTAAGTCTCCTGATGGGTTGGGACACATGAAAGGGAATGCACTTCTACCACTACTACTTCCAGGAGGTAAGAGGAAAACTAAAAGTCTAGATCACCTTGTCCTTTGTCCTCAGGTATGGCACGAAAGAGCAGCTCAAGGCACCTGAAGCAAGACATGGAACAGGGGTGAAGAGGAATCAATTTCAGTAACTCTAGGGTGAGTAGGTGAACATGGAGCTCACCAATTCAGATCCCAATCAGAAAATCATCCCTCCACACCCCCTCTAGGACCCTAGGCTCACCGGCTAAATTCACTAACTGCCATTTTTGGGGCACCCAGTTGTACCCAGGCCTGGCCCTGAAGAAGGTGGGTGGCAGAGACCCAGAGTGGGCAGTATGGCAGTTCCTTGGTTCCTTTTCTGGCATCTTCCCATAGCCGGGATATCTTGGGTAGCAGAGATGATGTGCGGCTGAGCAACTCCTCACATAGAGTCAAGGCATCTTGGGCTCGGCCTGCCTGGATCAGTGCTACTGCTGCCTCCAAAAACAACTCAGGCATACAGGGCCCTGGGCGGGAGCGGGGCAGGAAGAACTGGAGTGGGAAGAAGAGGCAGTGTCTTGAAAGGCATGAGCCACCATCCCCAACCTCTTCACCAGGCTCTGGTACCCTGCAGAGTACAGAATCATGGGCCCCCAGATTGTACAGACAAAATCGAGGGAAAAACAAAAAATATCAGTCTTGCTCTATTCCAAAGGAGACACCAACCCTTCCACTCCATCGCAGAGAAGCTTGAAGATATACCCACCCTTGGCTCCGAGCTATCCAGCAACAGGGCCAGCAGGTCCAAGTAATGCTCTGCAGCGTCTTCTGCCCTGGGGAGTCACAGCCCATGAGCCTCACCCTAGGCCCTAAGCAGGGCCCTGCAAGGTCCTGAGAATGTTCTCTCTTAGCTAACAGAGGGATGCTTATAGGCCCTGAGGAGTAGAGGGGGAGGGAACATCTTAGGGCTCCAATTCTAGCTCAGTATGAATCTATCCCAGTTACAGAATAGATTGGGGAAGAGACTTTAGAGTGTCAAAGATAGAGGAGGTTAGTGTCTTAGTGAAGTCCTTAGTTCAGGTCGAGAAGCAAGGTAGGAGAGGCTGAGGAGTGGTAGGTGACCTATGTCCTACCACTGCCTTATTCATCCTCCAAGTCATGAGAACCAAAACAGAGTCACACCCCAGGGGAGGCATCAGAAGTGGGAAGAGGAACTCAGGTGAGCAAGGGGAACCTCACCTCCCTGTCTGTAGGCACCTGCTTGCTAGTACGTGCTTGGCCTGGCTCCGAGTGCCACAGTGAAGGGGTGAGGCTGGGTCAGGTGGTGGCAGTAGTAATTCTACCTCAATGAGAAACTGTGGGGCTTTGGATCTGCAGGGAACATTCAAGGCCTAAAAGAGAAAGAAAAATCTATAAGCTCTGGGAGCCATACTTCCTTATACTTGGATCTTGACTAGTCAGTCATCCCAACACAAGCACCTCAGCAATCCTCCACCCCACATCTTCACCTGGCAGTTCCCTACCTCAACTAGCAGCTCCAGACTCTCCAGCTCTGCTGTTGTGTCCCCCAGTTGCTGATAGAGCCTAGAGGCCTCCAGAAGTGGGGGACCCCAGGCTGATCCCTCTTTCAGAGCTGCAACCAAGTACAACAGCGCTCTCTGTGGATTTCCCTAGAGGGGTAGGAGGACACAGGCCTCAGCTACTCTTACAAAGCAAATGCATAATGCATAATGCCTGCGGTTTCCCCCAATCTACCCTAGGACTGTCTTTACCATCTTACGGTGACAGGACCCCAGTGCTGTGTACACCTGGACCAACACAGGCCGTGGACACAGACCTGAGGCCACTTCATGAAGGCTGCTTAGGGCCCTGTCCAGGTTCCCTGTGATCAGCTCCTGGAGACCTGAGGACAATCAGGGCGTGAGCTGGGAGAGGCCTACAGAGTAGGGGTCATGATGGGGAACAGGGGTCCAAGAAGCCTATGGAACTGAATGGGACAAGAGAGAGGGCATGAGTCCAGAGGACCATTTAAAGGAGAAGAGATG